GTGAAGCTGGGCATGGACAGTGAAGCTGGGCATGGACTGGGTGAAGCTGGGCATGGACAGTGAAGCTGGGCATGGACTGGGTGAAGCTGGGAAGTGTTGTTAGCTTGTGTCACACAAGTGTGTCACCCACAAGTGTTACATCACATACCCACTTCATAATATAAAAAAAATACCTTTCTTAATTGCAGCAATAATTCTGGGATTCAGGTCCAGTAGATCCAAATCCATTTCTGCAATGGGCTGACCACCAGGATGAGTAACTTTCCAGGGACAGACAAGTCCTCACCGCAGTCACCACTCCCAGTAGGGCTGTTACCTCACTGCACCGGTCGCTGGGGGCCAAGTCTGAGGCAATAAATTCTGTTAGAGTAATTTACCTCTGAGGATTATTTAGTACTTCAGAAACCCTGCACTCATTCTAGACACTGAGGAATTTGAAAAAATGCCCCTAGGCTGGGTTGGGTGGCTCACACCTGAGCTCAGGAGTTGGACACCAGCCCAAGCAAGATCTAGACCCTGTCTCTATCAAATAGAAAAACTAGCCGAGCACTGTGGCAGGTGCCATAGTCCCAATTTCTTAGGAGGCTGAGGCAAGTGGCTCTCTGAGGTCCAGGAGTGAGGTTGCTGTGAGTTATGACACCACAGCACTCTACCCAGGGCACAGACTGAGATACTGTCTCAAAAAACAAAAAAGGAAAGAAGGAAAGAAGGAAAGAAGGAAGGGAGGAAATGCCCCAACTGAGTTCTGAAGGTCAAGACTCAGAAGGTATTTGCTCAGCCACAAAAAGAAGTGAATCAATCTTTTCTAACAATTGGGAGAACTAGAGACCATCACAGTACTCTCTAGAAATCTGGAACTAGCCCAGTGGGCACAGAGAGAAGTGGGGGTGGGCGGAGAGGAGGGGCAAAAAGCTACCTTGCAGGAATGATAGATATTCTGGTGAGGGGCACACCAAAGGCCCTACTTAAGCATCACAAAGCTATCCACACAACAAAAACACCTGTGGGTGGGGACAGTTGCTACAGGGTTCACTGCACTGAAATAGCTTTGTGATTTCCAGCTTAGCTTCCCTTAAATGTGTTTCCAAGAGAATTCTGGAAAGAGAGAAGTGAGCCTCAGAGAGTGCTCAGATGCCTGAGCCTCAGAGGCTACCGAGCTGTCTCAGGACGCTGTGCCCTGCTGGGCTGGAGGCAGGTGGTGTGGCCCCTTCCACAGCATGCATCCAACCCAGCCTCTAGAAGAATTCCACCTTTCTCCTCTCCAGCCTTGTCTGGCCATGTAGGACTCAGCCCAGGAGACTGTTCCAATGACTACTTTGTGTTCCCCCATCAGCCTCCCAGTCAGGCCAGCAGCCACAAGGGGCAAGTTCAGGGTCAATGTCTCCCAAGGAGGCCCAGTGCTCTCAGTCACTGCTCAGCTGATAGGAAGGTGAGCCGCTGTGCCCTGAAGACCCCTGTGTGGTGCTTAGGCTGCGACTAGGCCCGAATGATGTATTAGTTTTGCAGCTTCAGGAACCGGGTCACTTGCATCCTACATTCTCATAGTCAGGCCTGACACTAGCAGATCTGGGATGTGGAAAAGGGATCACAGAGCTCCAGGGCCAGGCAGGGCACAGGCAGGAGGGATGGGCTCCTGGGAAGCCACTCCCAGGGCTGCCCAGCCCCACAGCCCACAGACTTTCCCAGCCAGCAGCTGGTCACATGTTTATCCTGGAACAGGGACAGGGGTGACAGGGGCATAGCCCAAGAAGGAGAGGAGCCACCCTATTGGGCTAGGTCATGGGGCTGGGGCATAGGCCAAAGGGTGGGGTAATTTTAATGAGTTCAAAAGGTACTGATAGTGTTGGCTGGTGTGAGGAAGTGACATTCTCCAGGACAGGAAGCAAACAGAAGAAAATGTCATCTCCAGGAAAAGTACTAGGTGGTCAAGGGACACATGGCCAGGCCCACCTGACTGAGCAGGGGTGTTTGCAGAACTCAGAGGAGGCACCACCCAAAACAGCCTCTGAGCAACAGAGAAATCTGCAGGTTTTAGATTCCAGAGCAGGGAGAAGGCTGGGTCAGGAGAGGTCCTGCAGGCCTGGCTCTGCCAGCCAAAAGCAGGAGGGGGGCTAAATTCTGCCAAGCAGCTGTTGAGTGGGCAGGGGTACCAGGAAGCCAGCACACAGCTGCTACACCTCCAGCCTGTGGGCCTGGCTGCTAGAAGCAGAGGGACTGCTGACTGACCAGAGAGTCTCTGCCTGTCCAAGTCAGAATCCTGCACTTTCTCCCAGGCCCATCCGTACATGGCCTTGTGACATCTAATTGGCATTTAGCCAGAGGTCCCCTAGGTACCTGATGTCTGACAACAACTCCTGTAAAGGTGTGCCCCAAACCGTCTGCAGAGGTTGCCTCCGTCCTAATGGAGCAACTGGACTTTGATAATTTTGGAACTCACTCAACCGTGTGGTTAAGGAGTATATCTACTGCTGTGAGGTCCGCTCACATTATCACCGCTCCCTAAGCACTGTGGACCTGCAAAGATTCTCTGATAATAAACTGTGTGACTCGAGAACTTTGGTCATATCCTTACTTCCACAGGAGACCAGCAAACGGAGACCTCATGTTGTCAATGCCTACTTGGCTAGAGGGGGCAGGGCCAGACAGGCCCAGTCACTCTGAGCAGCAGGTCCAGGCTTCGAACACTGCCTTAATTTACTCTTTATAATAAAGAGTTAAAAGCAGGATGAACAAAGGCCTTCTCCCCAAACCAGGGCATTGAAACAAATGTGCTCAGATCTCTCCTCCTTCAATGCCACATGTGGCACCAGCCAGTGATCCAAATAAACCAAGGGGTACGGACGGGCGCCTCCACCATGTCTCTCTTACTTGGGGGCCTCCCTATTTTTTTTTCTTTTTTTATTGAATGGTAACTATGTACATTAATGCACTTCTCAGGTACAGTGTAGGGTTTTCACACACAATCCGAAACACTTCCATCAAACTGGTTAACATAGCCTTCACGTCATTTTCTTAGTTATTGTTTTAAAACGTTCACATTCTACTCTTAGATTCACTTGTACCCTTGTAAGATAAACCTCAGACGTGATCCCTCCAATGCCCCTCCCTCCATCCATTCCCCCCTCTTTCTTCCCTCTCCCCTCCCCCTATTCTTAGGTTGTTACTAGGTTATAGCTTTCATATAAAAGGTATAAATTAATTTCATAATAGGGGTGTGTACATTGGATACTTTTTCTTCCATTCTTGTGATACTTTGCTAAGAAGAACATTTTCCAGGGGGCCTTCCTACTTAAGGAGATAATTGGCCAAAGCACCTACTTGACTGGAACTATTATTTTCCTTTCTCTTGCCAGGTTCACAGCTAAATTCAGGTACAGTAAGCTAAGTGCCTGACATGGCCCCGTCACCAAAGGTCATAAAGGGGCAAATGCTAGCCCTAAACACTTAGTAAGTTCCAGGGACTACTCTAAACACTTGACATTATTAACATTCAAACATGACAACAATGTCATTATCTCCATTTTGTGGAAGAGGAAATGGGAGCACGGTGGTTAAGGAACAAGCCAAGGTCCCACCACCAGGGGATGGGGGCAGGCAGCAAGCTCTAGGGACTGCCCTATGCCTTGACCCACATCACTCGGAGTCTGAGCTCACCTGTTAGCAAAGCCCCACAGGGCTTGCTTGGTCTCTGGGCCCTATTCAGTCATCCCAAGGCCCCTGCCTGGTGGCTTCCAGGGCCCTCGGGAGTAGCCCAGTCTCCACACTTGCCTCCTGTCCCCATCCTCTTGTCCGGAAAGGCGCGATGCCTTCCAAGATCCCCGCGGCACCTCAGCCATCTCATGAAGGTTCCAGCCAGCTAGAGCTGCCTGGAGGGTGATGTCGTCACCACCACCTGGAGGGCCGCGCTGGTCCTTCCGGGCCCGGGCACTACTGTGGTTTCTCCAGAACTGCCCGCCGGGGCCGCCTAGACTGCCCCGGCTACCAGGAACAGACTCTTGCCCTTCTCAGCCCCCCTCCTCTGAGGACCGCTCCCTTCTCAGCCCCGCTGCCAACCTGCTCCCGCGCTCTGCCCTCCCCCCACACCGGCTCTTCCGCGGGACCGCTCTGTGACCTCTACCCACCTCTCAAGCCAGGACACCAGGCCTCCCCAGCTCGCGCTCCCAGCTTTACCCGTCTTGGCCGAGCTGTCACCCTCGCCCTGGACTATCGCCGCAACCCACTCAGCGAGGTCCCTGCAGCCCCCAGGCTCCCTCCGAACTTGCGCCCCATCAGGACCCTCGCTCCGGAGTCCTTTCGTTCAGCTTCCCTCTAGGGTCCACCCTGGGCTAGGGGGTTGGAGGCAGGAAGTAAAGACCCCTATCCCTTGCTACCTCACCAGGCCCCCACCCCACCCGCGGCAGCACCCAGTCGGTTCACCCACCCACCGGCCACCAGGACCAGCGATCTCACCTCCCACAGGCTCCGCACAGCTCTTGGCGCCGTCCCGCCCCTCTCGACCCCTCCTCCAATGAGCGCCGGGCGCCCTGAGCCGGCTACACCACTCAGAAACGGAGGGAAGTCTATATGGCTAACTAACTGACCAATCCAAAGTCTCAATCGCTCATCGAGGGGCGGAGCGATCTCAGGCCGGCCCTCACGGCCGATTGGTGACGGACCGCAGGGTGGCGGGGGCGGTGCCCTTGCGCGGATTGGAGAGGGCCATAACCGGGCGGAATCTAAGCTCCGATTGGTCGTTGGTCCGGGGCGGACTTGCGGATTGGACGCCCGCACCGTCAGCCGCGCGCGGGTGGGGCGGGCGGTGCCACACAGCTGGGTGAGGGGCCCGGGTGTGGGGCTGTGGGCTGAGAAGCTGAAGGGCCGTCATGTCTTCTGAGGTGGCCGCGCGCCGCGACGCCAAGAAGCTAGTGCGCTCGCCCAGTGGCCTGCGCATGGTTCCCGAGCACCGCGCCTTCGGGAGCCCGTTCGGCTTGGAGGAACCACAGTGGGTCCCGGACAAGGAGGTACGTGGCCGCCCGCGCGCGCTGCGCCTCGGACCTGCCCTGCCCACAGGCCGGGCCCTCGGGCCGCCCGCCCCCTCCGGCCTCGTCCCCGACCCCTCGGGCCGCCCGCTCCCGCCTGTTCCGACTGCCCGGGCTGCGGTCCGGTCAGGGGCTTCCCCAGTCCCGCCAGCGTCCCCTTTCTCCCTCCCTAGGCCCCCGAGGTCCCCTTCCGCAGCTGATCTGGTCTGTCGCTTCCCGAGCACCCCCAGGCTTGCTCCGGGTTGCCCCTTATCGCTTCCGCGGGCCCCTCCGCCCGAGTGGGGAGAGTGATGTGTGCGGGAGTCTCGGGTTAGAGCAGGACTTTCCGGGTGGAGAGTGAGGAGCGAGTCCTGCACCTGCCCCGGTGTGAGAGGTGCGAGAGGTGCGAGAATGCGGGGCTGTCCCCTGGCAGGGTGGGTGCGGCACCTGCTACAGGCAGTCTGCGCTGCGCCAGGGAGTTTGGACTCCACTTGCAAAGACAAGTCACTTCTAAGAAAACAAACACACTTCAAGCATTCTTTGTAATCTTATTTCAGAGTAAATCAGACATCATTTCTAAAAGGCATCCAAGTACTGAAGATTTTTTTTAAATGCTTTAAATTACAGCCCTCCACCCTGCATAAACTACTTTTCAAAACTTCCCTTGAGATCCCTGCTGGGCAGTCACGTGTCCCTTGCAGGTTTTCAGTAGAAGAAGGAAATTCGGAATTTTGAGTGCAGCTGGCAGGTGGCAGGTTGAGAAGCCACCTGGCTGCTTAGAGGATGGGAGTGTGGGCCAGGACCCACCCTGCCAGCCAGTCTGCCCTTCCCACTACTGCCTACCCTCCCCCTCTGAGTTGAGATGACAGTCATACCTGATGGTTTGAAGGATACTGTGCAGATCACACTTCTTTCTGGGAGGCCTAGGGCACTCCTGGAGAAGGGTTGGGCTGTGAGGTGAGGTCGCCCACATGCAGGCCTGGGCCAGCACCTTCCCCCTTCCCCCCTTCCCTTCAGTGTCCCATTCCCACCAGTATCCCCTTATGCCCAACACCTACAGTCTCCCCAAGATCTCTTCCCCCCCAGACCTGGTCTGTCCCTTTCTGGTCACCCCCAGGGTTGTTCTGATTGCTTCCTGTGTCCCTTTGCCCTATTGTGGAAAGTGATGTGTCTGGGAGTCTTGGGTTTGACAGGACTTTGCATATTGGGGACTGAGGGTGGTGTCCTGCACCTGCCCAGGTGTAAGAGGTGGAGACTTCTTCTCCACAGCCATACTCAGGGCACGTGTTCTCTCTGAACTCACAGTACCTGCCTTTCCTTTACCTCCTTGGTTAGTGCTGTGAAAGATAATTAAGCATAACAGCACCACTGAACTGTATGCTTAAAATAGTTAAGATGGTAAATTTTGTTATGCGTATTTTACCATAATAAAAAATTAGAGTAGAAAGTGATTTTAGAAAGGTAGTAACAAGACTTTCATGTACATTTAGATGTATTCAGCTCATTCACTCTGTGAAGGACTCAGCAGGTGTTAGAACTGGCTCAGGGAGGGCTTGGAGTGGCAGGAGCTGATAGAGGGTGACTGGAGGCAGGCAGAGCCTCTGCTGGACAGGATGACTTGGCAGGAATTTGTGGGTCTGGGAAGTACTCCCCTCAGCACCCATGGTGTGTGCAGCCCCACCTGGAGGGTGTCCTCTACACCAGTGGTCCTCAAGGTTTTGGCACCAGGGACCAGTTTCATGGAAGACAATTTTTTCCATGGAAGGGGTAGAGGAGAATTGGATTCTCATAAGAAGGAGCAACATACACTTCTGGAGTGTGCATTTATAGTTGGGTTCACCCTGTAAAAATCTAAGACCCCTGATCTGGCAAGAGGCAAAGCTTGGGAGGTAGTGCTGAGTGAGAGCGGCTGTAAACACAGATGAAGCTGCTCACCCCTTCTGTGCAGCCCAGCTTCCAACAGGCAGCTCTAGGGTTGAGACCAGAGTTTCTCACCTTTTCCATTATTGCCCCCTAAGGAGCCTTTTTAGACATTTTTTCCTGATTATCCCCCAACGAAATCTTTAAAAATTTATTTTTGGCAAGCGAAAATTGTATGTTTTTATGGTGTACCCCCATGACCTCTTGACAGCATATCCATATCCTCTGAGACCCAGGTTCCCCTCCTGCACACAGGCATGGCTCTCCCAACTCTGACTTGAGCTAACACTGTGCTCCCCTTTTCTCTTTCCTCCCTCAGAGTCCCTGGATATTAGCTGGTGATTGTTTCACATTTTCCCTGCATGAATTGCCTTTCTCTGTGTCCTGTGGGGGGGTCTGAGCAGAAGGGTCCTGAGTCCTGCTAGGCTGGTGAGGTCATCTGGGGAACCTGCAGGAGCTTCCCACAGAGTTGGTTGAAGTGACACATCAGTGTAGCAGCCTCAAGTATGAGAATGTCATTCCCATGCTGGCAGTACCCTCCACAACACCCCTGTCTGAATTAGGATTAACTGATCTGAGCAGCTGAGGAAAGCCCTAGAATCGGGTGGCCTTGATGGGGAGAACACAAGTGGGGCCTGACTTTCTTGTCTTGAGTTTTGTATTTTGAGTCTTATTGAAACGTGTTCCTGGAGTCTAGGAGAGTGTTCTGGAGGAAGTTTGGGGCTGGGAGAGTGGACTGAAGTCTGGCTGTAGCTGCCATAGCTCTGGGGACAGTCACTGAAATAGTCACCTGGCATTTGGTTGTGTGCAGAGGAGCTGCTAAGGTAATAGTGGGAGGAGATTCAGCCTTGGAGATACCAGTGGTGCAGAAATGGGTCTGTGTGTGGTGTTTGGAGTGGGGGAGAACTAGGTGACTGTGGTCCTCAGCCTCCCGTGGTGGCTGTGTTGACTAGTGTCACTGGCCCATCACTCATGTACCAAGTACCTACCAGGTGCCTGGCCCTGTGCAGATGTCATTTTGGCCCAGGTGAAGGTTATTTCTTTAAGATGTTATGACAACAACGGAGGGTGTGAGCACAGAGGCACCTTTCTCCAAAGAGGTGGTTGGTAACTCTTGGACTCCCAAGGAGCACAGGACTGGAGCTACCTGGGAATGGATTCTGCTGTAGACACGGAGAGGATGATGAGTCTGGAGCTCGTTGGGCAGGAGGCAGAGGCGGACCTGTGAAGCTTCATGCCTCACCAGTTTGGAGTAGGTGCTTGGAGTGCCAAGGAAACCTCAGATGATCTCTGGGGCTTGTCTCACTGCCATCGCAGTACCCAACAGCAAGAAAGGGGGTTTGGGGGTGGGCGGTCTGGGCATGAAACCCTAAGTGCTTGTCACAAACAGCCTGAGATCTTGAGTTTTATCCTTGAAACTCACACAGTCTTTCATCTCCCCCTTCTTGTCTGTGGCTCTGGGTATAACCAATGAGCACACCAGTCGTTGTGTATCTGTGCTGTAGTTTTGATGTTCACACACTCCAGATGTAGAGCCAGGGAGGAGAGAGCACAAGGGTGTGAAATACACATGAAAAACAAGTTGGATTACAGGGGAGGGGCCATGCATGAAGGGGCTTCAGCAGAGGGGAGGGGGCTGCTGAATCCCTGCCAGCTGGATCAGCTCATAGGCCTGGCCGGAGCCCCGCAGGAAGGGGCTTTTCTCTCGTTTGGAGTGTGACCAAGGCTAGAAAGAACCAACACTGGGCAGGTGGGATGGGCCAGTGGAGTGGCAGGGTGGAGAACACTGAGGTCAGCCTAGAGGGAGTGGTCAGTTCAGGGGACTGAGGGAGTGTCAGGCTGAGGGCATTGTGTTCCACTGTGTTTCAGTTGATCAGCAGGGACAGATTGTTCAGGCAGTGTTTGATGAGGCAAAGAATGGGACTTTGGAGGGCTCTGTCGTGGGTACTGGGGAATCTGTGATCTCTTATCTAGGTCATGCGGGGTAGGGTGGTTCTTGGCAGAACACTTTCCCAGAGCATCAGTGGGTGGGGACTTCATAATTGTTTCTGGGATCTCAGGGCAAAGTTCACCCTCAGGAGGTGGCCAGGGGCTGCCAGGGTCTGCCCAGATGTCTGGAGAGCCAGCAGACCCTCATAGGACACTGCCAGGGACACAGGAGAGCTCCTTGAGAGTCCCCATGGCTGGCGGAGAGCTTTTCCTGATGCTAGGAAAAATTGTGACTTTGAAACAACCACCACAGAAAGGGAATGGTGGGGTCCTATGAGATGCTAGGCACCTCTGCATGTTCCTCCTGGGGTGTGATCATCTACAGTGTTTGTACTGTTACTGAGCCATTGGACAACTCTATAACTTACAGAACACCAATGGCAATGCAAAAGATTCCAGTCCTGGAGAGGCAGATGGTTTGTCCTTCAGAGGTGTAGCTGATCTCTCCCCTATCCTGCCTATCACACACACCATCATGTGGGCTTTGTGGGAGACTCCGACTTTATGCTCCTTACCAAATTCATTTCTTCATTTCTTGTGGCTTATGTATGTGTCTGTTCTGGGAATTCTCCTTTCAAGTGCATTTTTAATATCTTATTGGTTCCCTCATTAATTAATGAGTTAAATCTGTGACATGGGCTCATTTATATCTGTAGGAGTTATGCTGTTGCCCTTTGAGGAACCTGACAACTGGTTGGCTGTGAGAGCTTGCCAGCCGGCCAACCAGCAGGCAGTGTTCCTCCCAGCAGCACTGACAGGGAGGCAGTGTGGGAGGGCCTGGCTGTCTTCAAAGGGGGGGCAGGTGTGTGTCCTGAAACTTTGATCTTTTTATAGTAACTTTTTTTGAATATCCATTTACAATCTCCAAACTTTATTTTTAGATTATATTAATCTTGCTGGTGGAGAGGTTTGAATTGCTCTGTACTGTCAGATGTCCTGAGGGTTGGGGCTGGTCCAGTAGGACAGTGGGCCCCAACTGCAGGTCTCCAAACAGCCTGTGCTGGATGTCTGCTTTGGCTGCAGAATGAAGATGGTGTTTGTGACTTCAGGAATCACTTGTGGGGTCTTCTGTTACTGTTTGTAGCCACCTGCCT